CTCGGCGCCGGCGCCGGCCGCTCGCCCGGCTCCCGGCGGGGTGGTGCTGGGGCAGCCAGAGCTTCTCCCAAGAGCTTCGCCCAGGCGGGTGGTCCCTCTCGGGTCTGGCGTGTGCCTGTGTGCCTCTGGCTGGGTTGTGCCCCCGTCGGGGTGCTTCAGGGACAGTTTGGAGTCTCCGTACCCCGCAGCCCTGTGCGTAGGGCTGGTGACCGCTGGCCTTTTCCCTGTCTCCATCCTGAGCCTTGGCCCAAGCCTTGGCTCGGGGCTCCGAGGATCTGTCGAGCGTTTCAGTTCTCCGTGCTCAGCCTGGACTCGAGGATGCAAATGCCGTGATTATCCGAGTTAGCGCTGCGTTTTGTGGTGTGTTTCCAAGGCAACGGGGTGTTCAGAAGACCACAGACACACACACACATGGTCCTCCTCTGGTGAGACCTCGTCCTCCAGCACACAGGTGAATGCTTGAGATGACATTTTCAGCCTGTCTGAATGCTCATCAGGGTGGTCCCCACTGTCCCTTGGTGTGGTCGTTTTGGGAAACCCAGCCAGCGACACAGACAGGTTCGCTTTGGTTCTGCAGATGTTCTTCCCCCCGCGCCTTGCTCGGAGGGGAGCGGTACCAGAGCGGCTGCCAGAACACAAAGGGGGATTTTGAACAAAGGAGAGGGGGGGAAAAAAAAGTAGCAGTGGTTTGATGCTTTCTGAAAATAAGATAATTTTCTTTTTTCTGGGAGGGTAAGAAAGGTTTGAGAAGGGGCAGGAGGGGAGCGGGGCAGGGTGGAGCGGTTATCCCTGAGGAGCTGCACGGGGGAGGCAGCGGCAGATGGCAGGGCTCCCGGGTGCCCTCCTGGGAAGGCTCCTCGGCTGGTTTTTTTGGGGGTTTATGGGAATAACTGTAATCTAAAATTATGGGATTAACTGTAAAATAATCTGCGAGGCGGGAATTTTCTGGTGGAGTTTGGATTTCTTCCTGCTTTGGAGACTGTACCGGCGCCGTGCCGGTGTTTGGGCAAGGGGGATTTGGGCACTGGGGACCAGAAACCGGTGAGGTGGCATTGCCAGGAGCCTGGTCCCGGCTTAGCGCAGCTCCCGGGGGACTTCATGGGAGAAGTTGGCGTTTGGTGCTTCCGCAGCCCCCGCGGCGCCCGTTCATCTGCCCCTTGCAGCGACGCCTCTCTGCAGAGAGGTTTGCCAAGCCTGAACCCTTCTGAGCAGACTTAAAATCGCCTTTCAGCTGGTGGGGACCGTGATCTTTCTCCTCTCCAGTGCACCCGTAAATACAGAAACCTCTCCTCTCTGCGTTGAGAGGCTGAGGGAGCTGGGCTTGTTCAGCCTGGAGAAGAGAAGGCTGTGAGGGGCCTAATATATACTTACAAATATCTGCAGGGTGGGGGTCAGGAGGACGGGGCCAGACTCTTTCCAGTGGTGCCCAGCGACAGGACAAGGGGCAATGGGCACAAACTGGAGCAGAGGAAGCTCCAGCTGAAGATGAGGAAGAACTTCTTCCCTCTGAGGGTG